ATCCGATTTTCAAAAAGTTTGGCTTTTTGTGCATCGTTTGGCCTCTAGATCAATGCTGCATTTAAATCTGACAACATGATTTTTGGTCGAAATTCATGTCAAAATAGTGCCCTCAAATATCCTATGTAGGCATAGGTCAAAATTTCCCACCCCATAACTCGGTCAAATCTCATCCGATTTTCAAAAGGTTTTGTTTTTTGTTCATGGTTTCGCCTCTAGATCAATGCTGCATTTAAATCTGACAACATGATTTTTGGTCGAAATTCATGTCAAAATAGTGCCCTCAAATATCCTATGTAGGCATAGGTCAAAATTTCCCACCCCATAACTCGGTCAAATCTCATCCGATTTTCAAAAAGTTTGGCTTTTTGTGCATCGTTTTGCCTCTAGATCAATGCTGCATTTAAATCTGACAACATGATTTTGGTCGAAATTCATGTCAAAATAGTGCCCTCAAATATCCTATGTAGGCATAGGTCAAAATTTCCCACCCCATAACTCGGTCAAATCTCATCCGATTTTCAAAAAGTTTGGCTTTTTATGCATCGTTTGGCCTCTAGATCAATACTGCATTTAAATCTGACAACATGATTCTTGGTCGAAATTCATGTCAAAATAGTGCCCTCAAATATCCTATGTAGGCATAGGTCAAAATTTCCCACCCCATAACTCGGTCAAATCTCATCCGATTTTCAAAAAGTTTGGCTTTTTGTGCATCATTTGGCCTCTAGATCAATGCTGCATTTAAATCTGACAACATGATTTTTGGTCGAAACTCATGTCAAAATAGTGCCCTCAAATATCCTATGTAGGCATAGGTCAAAATTTCCCACCCCATAACTCGGTCAAATCTCATCCGATTTTCAAAAAGTTTGGCTTTTTGTGCATCGTTTGGCCTCTAGATCAATGCTGCATTTAAATCTGACAACATGATTTTTGGTCGAAATTCATGTCAAAATAGTGCCCTCAAATATCCTATGTAGGCATAGGTCAAAATTTCCCACCCCATAACTCGGTCAAATCTCATCCGATTTTCAAAAAGTTTGGCTTTTTATGCATCATTTGGCCTCTAGATCAATGCTGCATTTAAATCTGACAACATGATTTTTGGTCGAAATTCATGTCAAAATAGTGCCCTCAAATATCCTATGTAGGCATAGGTCAAAATTTCCCACCCCATAACTCGGCCAAATCTCATCCGATTTTCAAAAGGTTTTGTTTTTTGTTCATGGTTTCGCCTCTAGATCAATGTTGCATTTAAATCTGACAACATGATTTTTGGTCGAAATTCATGTCAAAATAGTGCACTCAAATATCCTATGTAGGCATAGGTCAAAATTTCCCACCCCATAACTCGGTCAAATCTCATCCGATTTTCAAAAAGTTTGGCTTTTTGTGCATCATTTGGCCTCTAGATCAATGCTGCATTTAAATCTGACAACATGATTTTTGGTCGAAATTCATGTCAAAATAGTGCCCTCAAATATCCTATGTAGGCATAGGTCAAAATTTCCCAACCCCATAACTCGGTCAAATCTCATCCGATTTTCAAAAAGTTTGGCTTTTTGTGCATCGTTTGGCCTCTAGATCAATGCTGCATTTAAATCTGACAACATGATTTTTGGTCGAAATTCATGTCAAAATAGTGCCCTCAAATATCCTATGTAGGCATAGGTCAAAATTTCCCACCCCATAACTCGGTCAAATCTCATCCGATTTTCAAAAGGTTTTGTTTTTTGTTCATGGTTTCGCCTCTAGATCAATGCTGCATTTAAATCTGACAACATGATTTTTGGTCGAAATTCATGTCAAAATAGTGCCCTCAAATATCCTATGTAGGCATAGGTCAAAATTTCCCACCCCATAACTCGGTCAAATCTCATCCGATTTTCAAAAAGTTTGGCTTTTTGTGCATCGTTTTGCCTCTAGATCAATGCTGCATTTAAATCTGACAACATGATTTTGGTCGAAATTCATGTCAAAATAGTGCCCTCAAATATCCTATGTAGGCATAGGTCAAAATTTCCCACCCCATAACTCGGTCAAATCTCATCCGATTTTCAAAAGGTTTTGTTTTTTGTTCATGGTTTCGCCTCTAGATCAATGTTGCATTTAAATGTGAGAACATGATTTGTGGTCGAAATTCATGTCAAAATAGTGCCCTCAAATATCCTATGTAGGCATAGGTCAAAATTTCCCACCCCATAACTCGGTCAAATCTCATCCGATTTTCAAAAAGTTTGGCTTTTTGTGCATCGTTTGGCCTCTAGATCAATGCTGCATTTAAATCTGACAACATGATTTTTGGTCGAAATTCATGTCAAAATAGTGCCCTCAAATATCCTATGTAGGCATAGGTCAAAATTTCCCACCGCATAACTCGGTCAAATCTCATCCGATTTTCAAAAGGTTTTGTTTTTTGCTCATGGTTTCGCCTCTAGATCAATGCTGCATTTAAATCTGACAACATGATTTTTGGTCGAAATTCATGTCAAAATAGTGCCCTCAAATATCCTATGTAGGCATAGGTCAAAATTTCCCACCCCATAACTCGGTCAAATCTCATCCGATTTTCAAAAGGTTTTGTTTTTTGTTCATGGTTTCGCCTCTAGATTAATGTTGCATTTAAATGTGAGAACATGATTTGTGGTCGAAATTCATGTGAAAATGGTCTCCTCAAAAATCCTACATATGTCGACATAGATCAAAATTTCCCAAACCCATAACTCAGTCAAATCTCATCCGATTTTCAAAAAGTTTGGCTTTTTGTGCATGGTTTGGCCTCTAGATCAATGTTGCATTTAAATCTGACAACATTATATTTGGTCGAAATTCATGTGAAAATGGTCCCTTCAAATATCCTATGAAGACATATGTCAAAATTTCCTACCCCATAAATCGGTCAAATCTCATCCGATTTTCATAAAGTTTGGCTTTGGCTTGGGCTCTCCATTAATGTTGCATTTAAATCTGCCAACATTATGTTTGGTCGAATATGAATATGTCAAAATGGTATCCCCAAAAATCCATAGGTAAAAATTTCTCAACCTCATAGCTCGGTCAAAACTCCACCGATTTTCATAATAGTTGGCTTTTTGTTCATAGAAAGGCCCCAAGACTTATACCGTTAATTTTATAAATCTTAACTAAACTGTCCATGCCGGAAGTTTTGAGCATAATAAACATCGGAATTTTTTGGTCATTGTTTTATACAGTGAACGTTATTTTTTGTCTTAAGGTCACTTTTGAGCCACTTTCAGTTATTTGGTATATATCATAGCACTATCAGATACCCGCTAATTACCACCAGAATCCGCGGCTTGTTGACCAATTTGTAAAAATCTTCTTGTGGCTGCCATTGTCAACGTGTTGTGACTTAACCCAATTTAGCTGGAGGGCAACAACAGCAGCAAAAAGAACAACAGCAATAACAACAACAGCAACAACAGCGGCAACAATGAATTACGAGTATTTTTCCTTATTTTCTTGTTAGTGCTGCAATTTGGCGTCTGAATGCGCGAATTTCATTTCCAACTAATAAAAAAAACTGTTGCCCGTTGCGGCTTAAACTCTAATTAACGCCTCATCTGCGGTGGCGAAGGTGAAGACTTGCCCCATGTGCCAGACCTTCTAACTCCACCGCCTGCTTCTCCTCCACCTCTTTGCCTGGGTAGAGAGATTGTCTGTAACCCAACGTAATGCTATGAACTGTCTTGACGTTGTGCCCATTCTGTCTGCTTGAGAACGTATCGCAGTAGGTGGAGCACGCCGGGAGCCGAGGTCGGGGGGCGAGAAGAGCCACTTTTGGAATCTTTTACGGTATTTCCACAGCTCACGTCGCCCAATTAGACGCACTTTAAGGGGTCATTAAATGTATGTATGTGATGTGATTTTATTATTATTAATAATTTCGCGTTTTATGCATTTTAAAGACCAGCTGTAATTGCAGCGGCAAAGTCGTGCCTCGATGGTTTAGCGGCTTAGTGGACACCGAGGTTCATATCTAAAATCTCAAATGTCAGCTAACAGTGCTGCTGGGCGTGTTGTTGTTGTTGTTGCAGTTGTTTCGAGTCGAGTTTTTAACGCGCTCAGCTTCCGGTTGGAGTCGTAAAAAACAAAATACAAAAAAAAACTGCTCCTCTTTCGTCTATGGCTATGTTAGCACTTGTTGTTGTTTGGCTTTAACGATTTACTTTTTTTTTTCAGTTGCCACGCTGTTTTTACACCTCGTTCTTTACACTCGAAACTTTTTTATATGCTTGTTTCTTGATAATTTTTCTCTGCCTCTCTCTCTCTCACTTTTTTTATGTTTTCATTTCTTGGCCTCGTCGCGCGTTAATTGAATTTGCGGCATCGCTCGCCCTCTCCGCCCCAATCGTCAATCCCGTACCCAACTCTTGGATACACCCAGTCGCGTCCAGTCTATTTGCTGCGCTATTTATTTAATTATATTGCCGCTCACTGACTCCGACACTGGTTACGTCTTCAATTGCCTTTCTAGCCAGCTATTTGCCTTCTCTTCATTTGGTTTTCAATAATAATTTGCATTTTTCAGTTTAGCTTAAACTTCATAGTTCCATAAGTTTAATTGTTTTTCTTTTTATTTGTTTTCTACCAGGAAGTAGTCGACTTTTTGCTTGAATAACCAGCGCATAATAAAACCAGGCATGCTCAGAGTGTGGTTACATTTCTCAAATTCGCTTTATACATTCTATTTTCACTAAGACCTTGTACTCTTCTATACAATTCTTAAATCAAAGAAATTGTTGTGGGTTTGTGCACTCGCTGCATAGCAAAGTTTCATACCAAGTAGCTGTCTATCACGTAGGCTAAAAATATGTGCTGCATACTCTTGGGCTGTGTATAAAATTGGTTTCATAAGGGAAGATCTCTGTGTGTTCTAATCGGAATCTATAGCATATTCAGATTAAATATCCATATTTCTAGTTGTTCTATTAAATAAATTCTAAATCGATTAGGCTTAAAATTCAAAAGACTTGTTTTAAGTGTAGTTAAAATATTTCCTTCCGTATACATAATTTATTTTATTTTTGCTCCTTTTGGTCTTTATAAAAATAATAATAAAAAAAACACACGCCGAAATATAGTGCCTAATACTTAAATAGCGCAAATACTTGGATAGTACATTCGTTGGGGGAATTGATTACAATGTGATTAAAGGATTAAAGAGAATTTTACAGTTGAAAGAATTTTACAATTACAAAGTTACGACTAATATCTAAAGTAGTTATGTATATATTTTCATAAAAATATTAAAGCAAACATATTTTCGAATTTGTTTATTCAAACTTTCTCTTGCATTATTTTTTTAAGTGTACTTTTTTAGTGCAAATTTGTTAGTTGCGACAGTTTCAAACTGTTTTTCGTATATAACTTTTTCAGAATTTTTCACTGCATACTAATTTGGCACTTGTGGGATTTATTCGAAGTTGGAATTAAATGTAATGCTTTGAAATTGCTGTACTTTAGGTTTTAAATTAAAAAAAAAGCAAATTGCTTTTAATATATACAACTAATACAAGAGGGGGACATAGAGTGGGGGGGGGCTATATAATTATATAGTGTGCTATGTTACAGATTTAAGAACGCTTTTTATAAATATTTATTACAAATGATTTGTATAACAAAACTGCGTCTTAGAACTAATTAAATATTCGTATTTATTATTATTATTTTAATATGTATATTAATTTTTTATGATTTATGACCAAAATTTTGGTAGCAACTAAAAAACAAAAAACCCTTTTATACACGCACAGTCACACACACACACACGCACACACATTCACACACATGCACATAAATTAGTTGTAGTTTGTAGTTTTAGTTTTCAGTTTTAATTGTTAACTTGGCGAGACTCAATTGGCTCAGTCGAGTGCTAGATAAACCTATAAACCCATATATATATCCATATCAATCGTTGGCCATGCAATAGCCGGAATATGTCTGTATATTGTCCTCCAGAAAACTCTCGCCCGCTATAACGCCCGACTGTGTGTGATGGCTGGGACAGCGATGACCCTTGGGGCATTGGCACAGCGAATTGATGTTGACCTCGTCGAGAAACTCCTGACGTTTACGCACCGTAAACAGCTTGCACGGCTGCTTGCGCTGGCAACGTAGGCGCTGTTAAGAGTTAGACGAACAAGTAGGCAAAGCTTAGCTGAAGGGATTCGACTGGATTTTGGTGGGTTAACTTACCGTCAGCGGGGAGCAGGCGAAGAGATAGCGATAGGCTGTGCTGCTGTTGGGCACTGGCTCGCGTTTGGCCAGATAGGTAACAGAGTTCTTGGGACAACGACAGTGCACGACCTGCTCGGTGACATTCAGCTCTGCGGCGGTGGTCAGTGTCCAGGTGTAGTCACGGAAGTGCCTGCAAAGCGGGTGCAACAGGGTTAGCAAAGGGTGTAAAGCTTAGATACAGCTTCAAAGTTTGACTTACTTGCAAACGGGTAGCTTGTGGACCGGCTGGCACAGCTTGTAGTGCCTGGTCTTGTCGGCTATTGTGTGGCCATCTTCCACGCCCAAATTGCTCGGGCAGCCGCCAATAAAGCTGACTGCTTCCTTGAGACCGCGATGACCCGAGTGACGCATGTGCGTCGCGCCGCGTGCTGGCGCCTGGGGCAGTTCGTTGTCTGCCAGCTCCTCGTAGGCCGGCGGCAGCGCCTCGTTGTAGTCCGGCGAACGTTCCACATAGTCTCCCGCAGATGGCAGCTGCAGATCATCCTCGTAAACAGCGCCCAGTTTCTGCATGAGCTTCTTCAGATGCAAACTCTCGTATTTCTTGTCCAGCAGCAGGCGCTTGTGCTGCAACAGTTTCTCCTTCTCGTAGTAGCTGCGATATTTCTGGCCCTCAGACATCGTGCCATGTGGGTGCTCATGATGATGCACTATGACATTGTTGGGCATGCGATTCGATTCGGGACAGCGACACTGGCGCTCTATCCAGGGCGTCTCGTACAGGTCGATCTTGGAGCAGACCGCATTCGGTGCACACACGGGCAAATCAGCCTCGGAGTCCTGTAATAAAAAAGAGCAGGAGAAACTTAGTTACCAGCAATTTGACAAGATGATTTCAGTTTTCCTTTGAGGCACTGTAAATACAACCTCTTTTGTATGCCACATTTGCATAGCCAAGTGGCAGCACGTCGTCGAATCTGAACAAGTCATTGAAATAATTTCATTCATAGCCAGCCCAGCCAAGAACTGCCCAGCAGAAGAGCCCGACAAGAGCGGGCATTGGGTTTGCTCTAAGTTTGAAGTGCCCATTTGTAGGCCATTCAAAGCAATAACAGACCGTGGTTGGGGTTGGGGGGTGCAGGGGGAACCAAGTGAAAGGCGACCCTAGACAGAAGCTACTTGGACTGTAGCAGAAGGCAGCTACCGATTGTGGGCTACTCTGTTGGTTCTTATGAATTAAGAGCATAAAATTGGACATGGTTTAAATATAAGCATATGTATATGGATCTCATCTATCATGTAGATAATAAGCAAACCTTATTCAGGGGTCACTCATTGATTAGAACCCGCAAAAAGAGATCAATCAATCCAAATGCCTATCAGCTCTGAAATCTATGCTCGGCCGACCCACAGTTTGTCTAACCCAAGCAAAACTACTTGCTGCTAATCCTATACACTTCATTTACCATTTCGAAATAGAGTATTAAAAAAGTTCCTTTGGGGACAACAGCTTCTAAGTACAACTTGATTAACATATGTGCCCATCCTAACTATGCCATATCAACCCTCTATCCTCCAGCTAAGTGGGTGTGTTTGTTTGTTTGTTTGGGCTCCTCCGAGTCCATTCTGTAAACATCCAAAGCAGATACTTTTCATTAATTGAATTCCAAACGCTTCGCATGTTGTTGTCTGTGAAAGCGTATGTCCTGCGTGTGTATGTGTGGGTGTCCTTACACCTTGTTTACTTAATCCTATTTTATTCCTAGCTCTCTCTAGGTTCACATAAAAGCTTATGTTAGTATCTTGTTGATCCTCTGCTCGCTATAAACATAAAATTCAACTGGCAACTGCGGACTTTTAGTTTTGTTTTGTTTTGTTTATCAGTCGATTCGCTTGCTTTTTATGATGTGCTCCTCTGCTCTTGTCATTTATCCCTCTCATTTGATTTTATTGTATGGCACTCTGGCGACAACAACACACACGCATATGAGCAACAACAGCAACAACAACAACATCAACAACCGCAACAACAATAACAACAACAGGTTTCCAATGAAATTATCGAAAGCAATCAATTTTTTAAGTGGAACTTCTTTCAACTGGTACCTTTTTGACAACTCTCTTGATGTTGTTGTCGATGGATGGGGTCCTTTTCTGTTTTGGTATTTTTTATACCCTGTAACCAAATGGGCAAAGGCAGTTTGACGAACAGACTCCATCTTAAATGATGTCAGGTATAAGAAATTTATGTGAAGTAGTTTAAATGTAACTACTATAATACGACATTTTGCTTCTTTGATAACTTCCATTTTATCGAAATCGATAAACTTGTGTTTCTTCGGAATATCTCGAGGATTATAATGGCTACAAGCACTAAATTTGTTATCTAGGCTCCCATGAATTATACACACATGAAAAACATTTCACTTTTTATATAACTTCCAAAGTTCTGAAATCGTTTTAATAACATAATTTGTAGAATTGATTTTTGCTATACAATATTCCCAATGATTTTTATGGCAATAAATATCTACTAATTTTAAGAAACTGAACATAGGGTATCTTCTAGTTGGGCATCCCACCGCTAGAGCATTTTAATTTTGCTTTTTATTTTGTTTGGTCTTTTGTTTGGTTTCGATTTCAATTTGATTTTGTGTTTTTTCCCCCATTTCTTTCTGATTTGTATTCAAATTATTTTTATAATGAAATCAATAGGCCGTTTCCAGGCGTTCTCGTTGTGAAGTGAGTTGCACCTGCCTCTGGGCACAGCTACCTGCGCGTCCTGATCCCATTTCCTTGGTCTATCTGTATCCTCTCCTCTCCTCTCCTTTCCTCTCTTTCTGCTGCTGCTTCGTTTACTTAGTGCGTCCGTGTCGTACCGGAAGTCCGGAAGTGATTTAGTGCAGGCGACTGCCTGGCGGAAGTAAATAAATATGTAAGTGCAGCACACACACACACACGCACATGTGTGTGTGTTCATTCAAAAGGGATTAGCACTGCACTGGGCCGAGCCGGAAGTAAAGCAAAACCAAAGCCAAACAGGTTGCCGTGCCTGACCTTTTACCTTTAGCTTCCTCTCTCTCCCTCTCTCTCTCTCTCTCTTTATCTTTCTCCCTCTTGGTCTATTGCGGAAGCTATATGCCGTCTGCCCTAATGTTCTCGACTGCCTTCTGCTTTGCTTTATTAGTTTTATTTACTTCCGCTCACAATTTACTTCCGCATTTTGTTGGAATTTAAGCAAAAAATCGCGCGTTTCCCACGCGTTTTTGACCTACTTCTTTATTTTTTGGCGGCACCTGCCCCTTCTGCCAGCTGCAGCTAGTTCCTGCTCTTGTTTAGCCTTAACCCTTTGTTGACAAAATTTTTCAAGCATATGCCAAGCTTTGTTCATGCATTATGTGGATGCCCCATTGGAATTCCCGGGGGCCGGGCACTTGAGGGAAACCTTTGTCGTGCTGGCAGGATATGCTTATGTAAGGAGCTGTCTGTCTGCGCTACCGCGCTGTAAGCAGCGTGGGAAATTCTTTGAAATTCGAGCATGTTTATTGACAGCCCCCTCCTCTCTTCCCCCACCCCAATCCTGCCTTGCTGCTACCTCAACTCGGGGTAGCTGGAATCATGCTGCGCCTGGAAGTGGCACTTCTGAGAAGCCGTTAAACATACACCCGCTGAGTTTACCATATTGATAAGCAAATTTGTGTGTGAGTGTGTGTTAGAAGGGGGCAAACATGCCAGTGGCGTGCGTCCCCCTTTGCCAGTCGCTGCTGGCCGAAATCTTGACAAGAGATAAACAACAAGCCGAGCAAAAGTCGAAGAAGTCGCAGTCAAAGTTTATGCCCAGACAGTAAAAGTTGCTGCTGCAAAAGAAAACAAAACTCACACAGACACAGACACAGACCGGATATCCGGTTTAACGCGAGCAAAAAGGGTGGGGCTCAGCAGCAGCACACGTGGAGTCGCCGCCGCCTGCTGCTGCTGCTTCTGCTGCTGCGACACTTTATAATTTGCTCGGAGCAGCACGCGCGCGCGCTCCACAAACAATTAGCCTCATGTGTGTCAAAGTGCAAGAGGAGACTAAAAGCCAAACGGGCCGGGGGCCAAAGGGCGCAGCGGAAGTCGAGACAAATGAATGGCGACCATGCAACGTGATGCGGCAAGCACCGAACAACTTTTTGACTGCCAACTGACAACTGCTGCAAGAGCTTCGGTTTTTGAAGCTGCTTTAAGAGCTGTCAAAGGGTTTTACGCACGCTCGTTTAATTGAATCAAATTAACCCCCACAACCCCACCAAAACGCAGAAGAAGAATAAGATGATGATGATGATGATGATGAAGAAGAAGAAGAAGAAGTCGCAGCGCAACTGCCGCTTGTCATGCCTCATGTGGCTGGGGGCATGCTTGGAATTCTGCGCCTCAAGAGTTGAGCACCGGAAGTGCTGCTGCCACAAAGATGACAATGACTTATACAATATTTTGTATACCCTATAGAAAGTGAGCGAATGGGAAGGTGTGGCATGAAACGGGAAAAACATTTGTGATAGATAAAAGGAGCTCCACACTTGTTAAGGTTATATATATACACGTAGTAACAATGTCTATGAACTCAGAGACTATAAAAGCTTAAATTTAAAATTTTGGTATATTAAATAATAAGCCAGAATATTTCTGGTTCCTGAAAATTCCGGGTTTTGCTCTTAAAGTTATTTTCTTACTTGATTATATTTCTGTTTGTCTGCTCAATAAGAAATTGATAATATGAACAAACGTGAAGCGGAAAGACAATCAGTTTGTGTACAGGGTATACGTCAATCGAGCATTGTTGTCTGTAACATTCCTGCTTGTTCTATGGCTGGCAGTCGGGTGTGCGAGGGGCAAGCGTAATTTAGTCAGTTGCATAGCTGGCATGCCAATGCATCGTGCTTCAGCTTTTGTCTTTGTGCTGGCTCCAGCTCCAGCCCCTGCCCCCTCCACCCCGTTGCTCTGGCTGCCACTCATTAGCCAGCCAGCTTGGGGGAAGCCTTTGATTGTCGCTTAGCGGCGACAGCGTAATTTGAGCCTGTGGAGCTAACTGCCTGCTGGACTGGCTGACTGACTGACTGGCGGACTGACTGGCTGTTGCGCTGTTAGGCAGTGTGTACTGTAGACAGTGGGTATTGGCTGCTGCACCTGCCGCTATCAATAACCCAAACGGCTTGACATGACGCGCGCAAAATGCCAACAAAAGGACTTGCCACAAAGGATCGACCTGCTTTGTGTGCGTGTGTGTGTGTGTGCGTGTGTGTGTATTGCCAATCAGTGACATAAATTTCTCGAATGCCGGAAGAGCTGCCTAAAGAAATGCTGAGCATGTCAGCGCGGCTGGCAGGGATCGGTGTTTGGTTCCCATGAGGGCGTTGACGCACAAAGACGCACACGAACGGATGACGTGGGACGGACCGACGAACGGACGGACGCCGGCTGCTGCACATGCGCCGCCGAGACGCTGCCGTTGCTGCTGCTTCAGCTGATCTTCGTAGCCGTTAGACACTTGTGGCAGGCGGCTGCCGCTGTGGCAGGTAGTTTTGCCCGTGCAACAATCAGCTCTAGCCGGGCCGTTGTCTGTGCGGCTCTCTGCTGTTATCTTTTGTCTGTGCGTTAATGATTTTTCTATGCATTTCCTTTTACTTGTATTATTACTTGTTTTTGTGTTATTCTTGTTGTTTCCACATTTTCCCCATGCGCAAGAATTATGCAATCTGGCGTCGCACATGTGGCCAGATCTAACACAGATGCGCAGCGTTGTCTGGGGCTGGGGCCAGGGACTGGGTTCGGGTTCGGGTTCGGGCGCGGAAATGCCGTTT